GTTTTTAGAAAATAGTGCGAATTTTACAATTATTTTTGGCGCATTTCTTTTGTGCAGAAATAAAAGATTTCTAGAATCAATTATCTTTAATTGAAAATATAACTAAAAATTAAACAATTTTACATAATGTCACTTTTATTTCGTTTACCAAATTGTCACTTTTATGACGTTACCAAATTGTCATTACCAAATTGTCACTTTTATGAGCTTACCAAATTGTCATTACCAAATTGTCGTTACTAAATTGTCACCTTACCAAATTGTCATTACCAAATTGTCATTACCAAATTGTCATTACCAAATTGTCATTACCAAATTGACATTACCAAAAATCCGCCCATCGTTTTAAGAGGTTAAAAGAAGCTTTCCTCAAAAGACCTGTTAGAGCCTATCCTTGTTTCAAGGAAGGAGGGCCCTCTTTCCGGTTAACTACCGATTTTTACGGAACAGCGTTAAGTGCTGTACTTTCCCAGGAGCAAGACGGGGTAGAGAGGTTTATAGGAGCAACTGGAAGGAAGATGACAGCAGGAGAGAAGAATTATCTAAGCCACAAGGGCGAGCTCTCCGCAGCCATCATGGGATTTCGACGGTGTGTGCACATTTTGAAATGGGCTCAGTTTGAGCTCTACACCGATTCATCATGTCTGAAGCATCTGAGAACCCTGAAGAACCCAAAAGGGATCTTAGCTCGCTGGCTGGAAGAACTACAGCAGTACAACTTCCGAGTAATTCAAAAGCCAGGTAGGAGTAATCTGAATGCAGATGCATTGTCCAGATGTACAGACTTACCCGCACCCAGTCAGGAGGAGGAGGATGAGCAGAGGCTGTCTGCGGTAGATCCTCAAGAGTTCCAAGGAGAGAGTACTACAGGCACAGAAGGAAGATCCTGATCTAGTACTAGTTGCTCAGTGGGTTAAGACGGGGAAAATACCCTCCAAAGAGAGAATATGAGGAAAAGGTGAGGAACTCATTAGATGGAGGAAAGTAGCAGGGGCTGTATGCCTGGATATGAGAGGGATTTTAGTACTTCTTACGTACCAGCCTGGGACTAATGTACAGGTTAATATGATTTTAGTTCCAATAGCACTGAGGGAGAGTGCTTTAAACTCTATACACTCCCATCGGAGTGCAGGCCACTTTGGTGTCCGGGCCGGCATAGAGAGAGCAAAAAAGTATATATTCTATCCTGGATTGAGGAAAGATATACAGATGCAGATATCTCAGTGTGGGTAATGTCTAGCTAAGAACCAGAAGTCCGATATCAAGGACTCTGTTCATCAACCTAGGAGGAGCAGCTTTCTGTTTGAGAAGTTATTTGTGGACCTAGTGGGACCATTAGGAGATTGACAGACGGGACCTTGGTATATACTTACAATAGAGGACCACTTTACCAGATGGCTGACAGCAGTCCCCATACCTAATAAGGAAACACAGACAGTCACCAGAGCCCTGTTAGACAGAATGATCTTTTTATATGGATGTCAGGAGGAAATTCACAGTGATCAAGGAAAAGAGTTTACATCCAGTTTTGTACTGAACTAATGACCAACTTGCAGATTAACAGGACTACTACCCCAGCCTACGACCAGCAGTCCAACCTGGTGTAGAGGTTCCACAGGGTCCTGGGGCAGATGCTGAGAGTCCTACTAGAGAGAGATGATCCAGCTTGGGTCAAGTTGGTAGGGATTTGCGTGTTTGCATATAACACAAAGCAACATACCAGTACAGTCCTCACCCCTTATGCAGCCTTGTTTGGATGAGAGGCAAGGTTTCCTCTGGACTTGATATTAGAGAATCCTGCCGAGAGAGGTATGAGAATACGCAAAAGTTTGAGAGAGATGTTCTAAGTAGAATTAAGGAGGTATATGCATACATTTGCCGAAATGGGGAGGCGGTGATTCGGCGGAATTCCAATCTATGGGCAGGGAACCAGGAAGAGTGGAGTCCTGGTACATTAGTATTGTATTATTCACCTAGGCCAGTACCAGTTAAAACAGACAAGTTGGTGAATGCTTAGCGCGGCCTTTTTCAAGGTCATGCAGCGCTCGTTGACATTTGTCTGTCGAGGACTGAAGGGAAAACGTTAAGGCTACATGTAACCTGCCTGAAGAAATGTCAAGCTAATCCGAATGTAAACGTGAGGGTTTTGAGAGTTAAATTCAACCCACAAAATGAGTTGCCTTCTAGCCTACGCAGCACTGCTGGGTTTGGTAGCACTGGAATGCAGTAACGCATTTATGCTGGAGTACACAGATTGCGTTGATCTGGAAAAGATCCGAGGAATAGATGTTACTCGAGTGTGTAGAAGCACATTGGAGCCACCTAGCTCCAACAAGAGAATGGTACTCATACAACCTAGAACAGTGACCTGTCTCCAGGGTTATGAGTGCAAGATCAGGGAATCCAGATTCAGGTATTATTGTGGAGCCTTTTCACACCCACTATCCGGCATGATGTACTGGTGTCACAGACTGGTGTCGGGTACTTTGTACACAGAGGCATTTCCAGCCTCCAGGACTACTCAACTCTTTTCAATATCACCATCCACCAAACCACCTTTGTTCAAGTGTCGACAGCTGGAGAATTACGAGTAGCTGATGAAACTGTTTGGTGCAAAGGGGAAACAATGCATATGGGAAACGGGATTGTAGACTACCTGCTGGAACCAGTGGAATATGCAGTGCTGGTGGAGATTGAGGAGTTCGTGGCTCAGGGTCAGATGGTGGAGTCCAAGAGCGACCATGTGGCACTACCATGCAAGCTGAGCACAGGAGTTTGTGAAACTGGAGATTGCACTTTTATCTTTGAGTACACACCCACCTGTACTTTAGAACAGATCCAGGTGTTCACCAGGTCCCAGGTGAAGATGAGGTCCCTAGATGAGGAAAAGGCTATCTTACTCATCATAACTGGGGTGACCATGGCCCTACAGGAGTGTGGAAGTGCTATGTTGTTAGCTACCAACTATCCCAAACTCTTTTCAGCAGAGATAAATGATGGGGGAAATTGGCCCAGTCTGCATCCTGCAGATCTCCATGAAACCATCCAGGAACGAATAAGAGAGGATTTTATGGCCTACCAGTTAGAGAAAAGGATGCAGTCTGTTCAGAACACGCTGAAGTTCACAATATGTCAGCAAACTGTATCCGGTACTGTGGACATGCCGCAGCAACTTCCTACGGGCCAATATGCTTAAGGGAGAGGTGACCTCTTATTCTAGTTATCTTGCATTCAGAAAAGAGGAGAAATTGCCGAGTTATTAGCCTGCCACAACAAGGTCCCAATCGATGCCAACAAACAAGAATGGGTAGATCCAGTCACAAGATTATGCACCCAACATGTTACTCAGCTACTGTGTTCCAAGATGTTTCCTATAACCCTCAAGGTAGCTAATAGTAAATGGGTAGCCATTACACCGCCCCTTGTACCAGTAGCAGCCCTGGAGCAGATAACCCTGGAGCAGGACAACCTGGTAGATCATCTAGATATGTCAGCAAGTGGACCTTATTCTGAGGCAGAACAAAAGGAGTGGGAACAGATGCTGGAGTATCCTTCATACCACCAGGCCCTGTTAAAAGCTGTAACTATAGGATCATGCGTAGAGACTGACTCCTGCACTGTCGGAATAAGCCATTCAGCTCTAACTAGGTATGATCTATCTGGTTTGACAAAGACCTATTAAGAATTGAATATCCTGTCCAGGATGGACTTAGCCATCCGCCAATACAGAGATTATATGGCAGCAGCCGTTCTGCTGATAATGTTCATCAAGGGAATCGTGCATCTGGCAGTACTGATGATGGCATATGCACAGGGATGACCAGCAATGGAGTTAGCCGTTATTTTAACAACGTGCTGTGGAGCCTCAAAGACTTTGAAGAGGATGAAACGACGCCAGCAACAGACAGAGGAACTTCCTCTGCAAACACCAAAGGAAGAGCCAAGAGTATCCGCTCCACTACTCCCTACTCCAAAAGTATCTTTCCAGACATCAGGCTCCCAAAACAGATTTCTTTAATATCAAGGGGGGCCTGGGCTTTTCTCTTAATAGGAAGTTCTATGTTTTTGAATGGGGTCAAAACAAAAACTTGAGGGGGATGTAAGGATTTGGTTGAATAGGGGCCTTGAAATCATTCTCTGGGCTCGTGATACTCTAAGACACATATCTTACGGGTTTGTTTGTATAACATCTATACTATGTAGGCGTGACCTTTTCAAGCCTAGCCTGACTGCTGGGCTACGCCCTTCTAATTTTATTCAGGGGTATTCTTCTCTATATTTGGATTTTTATCTTTTACAATATAGTGTTTTAGTATGTAAGGAATAAATTACTATGTTGTATTATTGTGAACCATAACAGGGATAAACCCTTTATATAATCAGTATGTTTTAACCAAATAAATATATATATAGATATGCAGGCAGGTATAAATTTTGAGGTCTTGAGAAAATTACGCGTACTGTATGTTTATATAACACAAATGCGTATTTCCTACAGATGGCAGCAAGGGGAGAAAGGAATATAGAAAGTAATCAATTTGCTATAGATGTCTCTCCTTGCACCTTCTCTTAGAGGTTCAAAAATTAGTTGTCTGCTACAAGCAATTTAGGAAGGAGGTTTCTACCTGCCTGCATATCTATATATATATTATCTTTGGTTTTAACAATAAATAGTCTAGAACTCAACAGTTGTGTCACACAGAGGGAGCTGAGAATATAGTCCATTCTAGTCCTTGAGGTTAAGAGTCTGAGAGTATAAAGAGTATTTGGAGAGTGTCTGACTTTGATATAGAGGCGAGTACTCTTTTTGAATACTTTAGTTATTAGAGACTCATTTCCTTCAAAGTGTCAGCTGAAGTTCTTGAAGATAAAAGGGATTGTTCTTGGTCATTATAATTTTGTAATTTTGGACATTTTGTAATTTTGGGCATTTTGTAATTTTGGACATTTTGTAACTTTGGAAATTTTGTAAATTTGGGCTTTTTGTTATCTTGGGTGTTTTGTTTTTTGGGTGTTTTTTTTTTGGAAGATTTTTAACATTGGGCGTTTTGTTTTTGGGTGATGTGTAATTTTATTACACAGTAGTAGGCAATTATTTTGATAAATTTAAGACAACTTTTTATCTATTGTTGAAAGGACTGTGAAGGAAAAATGAAAGGGGGTATAAGGCTGAAAGCTGAATCTGACATGTTGACAGCTGTTCACCTTTTTCAAGAATATTTAAATTAAATATAGGTATATTGCATTAGTTTTCATTGATTTATATTTAATTTATATTTTGAAACAAATCTTTTAAGACAACAACAAAAAATGCATTTCAATCAAAAGATTGGTTAATTTGAACTATTTTTTGTCTTTTATGCTTTAAGGGTGGCCGGCTTCGGCCCATTCCTAGTAATAATTTTAGATTTTTAAGTCTTAATCTTCAAGCCACCACTTTCATAGAATTCTAATAAGCAAAAAGTTTCATGAATTTTTCTGTTTAAGCGAAATATACTTTTATCACAAAGTCAAATTTTCTATGTCCTATATTTTTGCATCATGATGATGTAAACCTATGATATTTTAAACTATTTGATCTAGCAGAATTTATAGTTTGAAATATCAAATGTCGAAGACAATCAGGTCGCAAATATACATATATATAGGGATTAGAAGATCAGAGTGATTTTTTTTATTTTTATTTTTGGTTTATACTATTTAATTATACTCAGGATATTGACAGCAGATCACAAGAATATATGAAAATATACAGGGTGAGTAAAATAACCGGAATTAGCAATGTTTTGATAAAAAAATCTCATAACTTTTGTTTGCTTGATATTTTAGGTATAAAAATGTTAAAGTGTTTCAACAAAAAAAACAGAAATACTTTTGGAACATTAAAAAAATTTTCACGAAAAAATTTTATTTTTGAAAAAAACAAAATTTCCATTAATTCGATGGGAAAATGTTTATTATTTTTTTCCCCCAAAATTTCATAAAAATTCATAATTGAAACACATCTCGCCCTGATCATGGCCCGTGTAATATGGCTTGTCTGTTTTATGTGTGTCCAATAAAAATCAACATGAATGAACCAAATTTGTCCACCCTATCTTCATTTGCCTTTCTCTTTACTCGATCATCTTAAGTCTCTCAACCAACCCTGCTGATTTTTAATCTTAAACAAAACCAAAAAAACAGAAAAGATCATAATATAAGTATATTTTAGTATTTATAAAGACTGATGCCGAATTTAAAGAATTTGAACCATGCCTAGAAGCCTTTTAAACATGAGACGTGGTTGGTACAGCTGTCAGCAAGAAATTTTAATGAGTATTTGAGATTTGAGCTGGCGCTCAATTGGAACTGGTTATTAGCGGTTCAAATTCTTTAAATTCGGCCTTTGGTTTAGTAAGATATATCAATTTTAAGCATGATTGTACTACTTTACACCCACACAAACTCAAATTTTCTAATTTCTATATCTTCTCAACCTGATGATGTAAACCGTTGATATTTCTTTTGAATTTAACAGAATTTATAGTTTAAATATCTAAGGTCTCCGATATTGGGTTGAAAAGATATATGGATTAGAAAATCAGAGTTTGTGGCGAAGACTTGATTCCTTTGCTGTAAGTTTTTCAAACATTCAAATTTTTTCAAATTTTTGGGACCTTCCCTTTTATGGAAAATTTTGTGCAAGAGATTTTAGTATTTCAGATAAGGCTAGGAACTTATTCATGTATTATAAAAGCCGAGATTGTAAACTGTGGAATTTCTACATTTTAATTAGTTTATGACTATTTATAATCTTTAAACAAAGTTTATGATTTCCAAAACTCTAAAAACGCAAATTTTAAACCGTTAAATTTAGAACCTTTTTTATCAAGGTTATAAAAGTTTATTTATAACCTTGATAAGAAAATTCAATATTCTGTCAGTCATTTGTCCATGAGTTTAAAATAAGTGTATAAAAATATATTTTCTTCAATATTTTTACATATTCTTAATTTTTCTCTGATTACTAGGAGTAACCCATAATGGATGAGACTGGAAATTTCTAAAATATGAAGATTACAAGGTTGAAATTTAAATATTGTCTTTCAATGGCTTAATCAATGGCGTGGCCAAGACAGAATCCAGTTAACACTTGTAGAGAATCATAAATATAGGAAACGGACAATTATAATTCCGAACAGTCTCATCCTTACTAGGTAACCCAGTATAAAATTGTATGAATACTGCCTTATATTTAACAACTTTACGAGTCCCACTAAAACCCAGTATGATAATCCAGTATGAAATTGTAAAAGGCGGCATGCCTTAATATTTAACAATATTTAACACTGGGGTCTTAAAAATTGTTTTAAAAATAACGATTTAGAGACAGTCTTAACCTTTGTCAACCTTTTTGTATGTCTTACAAGACTAAATTAATAAAATAAACATTCTATAATTCCGAAAAATCTTAGACGATTTTATAATTAAAGTTGATATTCGGAATTCAAAGTTTTTTATCATTTGTTTGAACCAATAACGACACAAATATTTATAACATTTATTTTTACAAAAAATATGAGATCATTAAAAAAATTCAACAAACACAAAACAGAAAACATAACAAATAACTCACGTGTGACGAAAATGCAAAAGTCTCTAAAAACATTGAAGTTTTTAAATTCAACAAGAATACAAAATAATTCAAAACTAATTTATCTCAGTACATAAGTTCAAAAAAGCCTAAAAAAATTAAGAAAAATATTTTTGATTTAACAATTTGAGATACTTTTCGATTTAATAATTATGTTTATCATATTTTCTGCTGAATTTTTTCCAGGGTTTTCTTTATCTCGTCTCCAAGAGCTGAAAAATAAATAAAAATAATTACTTTTTTTTTCACCAAAAAGGTGCAAGTTTTATAAAATAGCGAATAGCTTTTTAAAAGAAGACTTGAAAAATTGATATTTTCATGTTAAATATTTTTTTAGTATTTATTTAAAGAATTTCAAAAGTTTCATAACTTTTAAATGAAAGCATTTAGCTTAAACCCCTTTAAATGAGTTAAACTGATTCTCTCATTCCCATTGGTCACAAGTTAAGATTTGTTCAACACACTTCAGGTATAGTGATTAGTAGGAACCATAAAACTGTGGAATAAGAAGACCACATTTAAGCAATAATTAAGCATACATGATGTTGTTATAAGGCAAATAGTTTTATCAACAACTTATTAAGTCATATATGTAGTTAAATGGGCCTGTTTACACTGCACAATTTCTGTGCTATATGTTCATTGGACTGTTAAAAGTCATAATTTAAGTCTTCCTATTCAAGAGTTTTCTGGTTCTCACTTTAGCTTAAACCTATTCCGTCTATTATAAAATTTGAATCTATTCTAGCTGAAGAGCCCGGCATTGCCCGTGAAAAAATTATTTGAAAAAAATGTTGATTTTTTTAGCCTATAACACCCCCCGGCCACCCAAGAGTGTCCACAACAAATTTTGGCCGGCTATACGCAACATATATATATATATATTGTTTTATTATATAGATGATGTTGTGGAAGACGATAGCCGGCCTCGATACGATAGTTCCACAACAGTACTCTGAGAGCTGAGAACACGACGGAGCATTGATATTCTATTAATCTCGTGGAACTAGTAAACGAACCCCTGTTCTGTTATACGAAAATATATACTGGTATAAGTTATCCCTGTGCTTTATTATACTCCGTCCTCACGACCTCTATAATGTTTATCATATTATTAACCCCCCTACCTTTGCTAGAATATATTGATGATTGGCTACTCCTCAGATCTATAAACTCGCTTCCAGGAAGACTGAAAATTTTAGAATATTATGATATTAAAAACTAGCTTTGGAACTCAGCTTTGCCGGGAAACTAAACCTTCTCTACAACAGTAAGCTCATAGAACTTAAACTAAGCATATTCCCGTATTTCTAATGAGCCAACACAACCAAAGTCCAGGGCAAGTCGGTCAAGGGGTTCCTGAGTTATGATCAGACATACAAACAAACAGACAGACAAACAGAGATTACTGCATTATAAATATATGGATAAAGATAGATTAGGCAATTTTTGCGTTTTAAATCGTGCTTATCTGTAACCATATTTTCTTCGTTTATCTCGTAACAAAAACATCACAAATTTTCCCGTTTTAATCGATGGTTTTTCAAGTTTTTAAACTTTTCATAATTAATTCCCAGCAATTTGTTAACTTCTTTTAAGAGCATTTTCCAAACTTAAATTTGAGATAGTATATTTCCGAAAAATAGGGAATCACCAATCCAATCATATTTTACAGAGATTGCTTGTGGCAACCCCATTTCTCACATTACGGATTCTCCTCCAGATCTTTATCATATACATGTTTTTTTTTTGTTTTTTCATCTACTCTTTAGGCATATACTGATTTACAAAATACTAGCTGAACTGCCCGGCGTTGCTCGTGGAATTTAAGAAGCGTTAATTTTTTTTGAATTAAAAAAAAAATTCAATTTGGTCCAACCGTTTGGCCAGCTATAGTATGAACAAGAGCTTTATTATATAGATTATTTTGTATCTGTACCTGTTTACAAGATTTTGAACAGATTTCTCCCATATTTTGTATCTGTACCTGTTTACAAGATTTTGGACAGATTTCTCACATATTTTGTGTCTGTACCGGTTTACAAGATTTTGGACAGATTTCTCCCATATTTTGTGTCTGTACCTGTTTACAATATTTTTAACAGATTTCTCCCATATTTTGTGTCTGAACCTGTTTACACTATTCTGAACAGATTTCTCCCATATTTTGTATCTGTACCTGTTATTTCTCCCATATTTTGTGTCTGTACCTGTTAACAAGATTTTGAACAGATTTCTCCCATATTTTGTGTCTGTACCTGTTTACAAGATTTTGAACAGATTTCTCCCATATTTTGTATCTGTACCTGTTAACAAGATTTTGAACAGATTTCTCCCATATTTTGTATCTGTACCTGTTTACAAGATTTTGAACAGATTTCTCCAATATTTTGTGTCTGAACCTGTTTACAAGATTTCGAACAGATTTCTCTCAAATTTTATATCTGTACCTGATTACAAGATTTTGAACAGATTTCTCCCATATTTTGTATCTGTACCTGATTACAAGATTTTGAACAGATTTCTCCCATATTTTGTGTCTGTACCTGTTAACAAGATTTTGAACAGATTTCTCCCATATTTTGTGTCTGTACCTGTTTACAAGATTTTGAACAGATTTCTCCCATATTTTGTATCTGTACCTGATAACAAGATTTTGAACAGATTTCTCCCATATTTTGTGTTACAGAGATTGCTTGAGGCATCCCCATTTCTCACATTCCATATTTTCCACCAGATCTTTATCATTTACATGGTTTTATGTTTGTGTTTTTTCATCTACTCTTTAGGCATATACTGATTTACAAAATACAAGCTGAAGTGCCCGGCGTTACTCGTGGAATTTAAGAAACGTTAATTTTTTTTGAATAAAAAAAAAATCAATTTTGTCCAACCGTTTGGCCAGCTATAGTATGAACAAGAGCCTTATGATATAGATTATTTTGTGTCTGTACCTGTTTACAAGATTTTGAACAGATTTATCCAATATTCCGGTCATTTCCGGTTCTAGGCCAGACTCTACCATACTACTTCTGAATTAAACTTTTATTGATTCATTGATCAAATCGTTGAAGGGAAGAATCAATAAACAGCTTCCAAAATAATACAGGGTGTCCCAAAAATTATGGGAATGTAGTGACGACTTCATTATCCTCTTTGTTCTCAAGCGGCCTTGTAGTAGTATATTAGTGAACACCGAAAATTACTAATTTTGGATTTCCAAATGGGGTCTACCATGTTTAATCTTTCAAACTTTACAGAGATATTGAGTAATTTGTCTAGAATCCAATTTATTAAAAAACAACAAAGTTGTTCAAATGTTTAATATTTCTCCCTTATTTTATTTGATAAACTCTTGATTGGAAAACAAAGACGATTTTAATTTCAATGCTTATTAAAATACCCTGTATCACTAGACACAAAAACAAAGTATGAATAAAATAAAGAAGTAAGGAAAAAGTGAATGAATGAATATATATGAATCATTATAAATAAAAGAATGAATATTTAATTAAATAAATTACTAAACCTCTTTCAAAATGTAGGACAAATCTCTTTAATTATCCTAGTTTACCTGATAACTGATACAGATATATTAGTTGGTAGAATCCATTTATTTGATATTTCATCAACCTGGTTCAAACTTGTACCAATACTTCTAAACAATTAAGATCAACCCAATTCTAAGTGATTGCGTTCCCTTCTTTGGGGTTTTAATGACATAAAACTCAAATTATATGTCTTTAGACTTTTTATTAAGGTATAGAAAATGATTCTTTCCGCAACTGCCTGATTGTTTTTTTTTTCCTATGCCATATTAAAGCACTGTTTAGACCCACTTTATATACAAGTTATTTAATTTCAAACTGTTTTTTGCTTTTGGAAAGTCTTAGACAACAGGAAGTAGATCAGCTTTTGCTTAAATATTCTGAATAGTGCAGTACAGTAAGTACAGTACAGTGCTGTGAAATACAGTGATGTGCAGTAGGGTTGTGCACGTACAGTGCATTACGGTTGAGCACAGTACAGTGCAGTGCAGTGGTGTACAGTGATGTACAGTACAGTAAAGTAAGTTCGTTACAGTACAGTATAAATAGTACATTACAGTATATACACAACTAAATAAAGTCCAGTATGCAGAACATAGTGTGTCACGACTCACCTGTATTCATCTATGACTGCTTGTACATGAAAAGGATCACATACTTGGTGTTTCTGACGAGCAATCACATCCTCGTCATCTAAACATGTACAATTGGACAATTGTGCGTACATGACATTGTGCACTACAGGGGTTGGTATTTGTATGTATAAATTAGTAATCTCTGTTTGTATGTCCGATCATAACTCATGAACCCATTGACCGATTTGCCTTAAATTTTGATGGGGAAAGGAAAATTGATACTATCGCGAAAAATTTTATTGACATTACTCAGTTAAGTGCCATGTTTTTCTACTTGCGGAGTTCTGCTGCAGAGAAAATGGATGGAATGGCCAGAATGAAACACTTTTTAAGACAGAAAACATGAGTAAAATTTTCAATGCCCAAGTGAAAGGAGACCCAAAGTAAAAGATTAAAATTTGTTTGAAAATGTTTAATGCACTTTTTGGTATAAAACAAATTTATTTGCATCATAAAACTGTGGAACAAACTGTAAAAGGTGCTGTTTTAAGTTCTCATATTACATTTAGTAATGATTTTTTACCTGTTTTACAAGAAATCTACAAAATTGAAAAGTAAAAAACTATTTGTCTCCTCCGATAGACCGGAGAAAGAGAAATATGCTGCTACTATCTTCAATGATTCGTATTATTGTTATATGATAAATTGGAATTTCTCTGTCAATTCTAAAGGTGCAATAATGGCAGGCCGCATTTTCAAATTCCCGGAATTATAGGAATACTACTAATGATAATGCCGTGCACGGAATAAAGACGATATAGAAATTGCCACTTTATTTCGATGTTTATTGGCTCACCCTGTATCTGAGGACCTCACAGTGATCTAGAGGTTGCAAGCTCTTACACAAAAAGCAAAGAGAATTTTGACTTATGAAAACTTTAGCTGACCATATGAATATGTACATTTCTAAAATGTACATATTCACTATTCAGGGTTACAAAAAAAGTATTTTTTTTTTAGTTAGAGAGGTTCTAGACAAAGACAAAGGTGTAGCGACTTTTCATACAAGTCTGGATCTGTGATATATGGCGAAAACTGAGAAACCACGCTATTCTGAAATAAAGAAATACAAGAATAACCACCCAAAAAAAACGTTGAAAGAAATAATCGAATTTTTTTTAGCCTATAATACCCCCAGCCAACCATGAGTGTCCACAAAAAATTTCAGCCCAATCGGTCCAACCGTTTGGGCAGCTATATGCAACATGTATACGATTGTCTTGTTTTATTATATAGATTTAACAAAGTAATCATGCAGTGTACAAACACTTAATTAACCGTTTTTAAACTGTATGCTTATAATAAAATGAAATATACAGAAGATTGTTCAATTGTCGTGCTCGTCTTCATTTTCAATAGTTTTCTGGGTCACATTAAAAACATAGTTTATCATTACACTTGGTTTTCTCTTTTTCTCACTTACTTTTAAAATGATTCTTTGCTCAATTTTATTTTTAGAAATAAAATATAAAACAAATCAAAAATATAGTAAAGAAAGATAACTAAAGCTCAAATATATTAAGTTTTAATTCTGAATTTTAAGTTATGGTAAACTACTGAAAGTATTCACCATGGTACACAGGAAAAAAATTCTTATTAAATGTTTTGGTTGCAGTGTAATGAAGAATAATTAAATTGCTGCTAAAAGATGTATTACTTTGTTAACCAATCCAGAGGATTAACGAATCTGAAGATTTTCTGACCTAAGATTATTCTGGAATAAAATCATAATTTATAATTTTTTAGCCCAATATCAAAGATTCCCATAAAATCTAACTAAATACTGAGGAGTTTAAAAATTTAGTTTTCCCTATTTTCACAATTCTACTTGAAATCAATTACAAACTTAAAAATAAATTTTTAAGATGGATAAGTGCTGAAATTCAAATTAGATAGGACAATATACAAATAAACATGGCAGTTTATTGAGATACACCCAAATATTGTTATTTCTTTTCCGCTTCTGGGATTGCCTTTCCAGATTCTTCATTTGAACCTAACATTTCATTTCCATCAGTTTCATTTCCATCAGTTTCATTCCCATCAGTTTCATTCCCATCAGTTTCATTTCTATCACCTAAAATTAAAGAGCTGTTGCAAATGAGTTTTATTTATTGTTTAACTGTTTACTGTTTAGCATTAAACCGATTTGAATATCCTAATTAAAACCAATTAATAGAATTAGAGAATTCTAAAAATTAACCAAAATAGGACTAAATTTTTAATTCTTAGGACATTATTGTTATATTTATATTAAAAACCCGTATTTTCCCATTCAATGAATGCTATAATATAAGTTCAACTTGCCTGGCCTATCAAGTATACCTTTAGCCTTACCTCCTGCAGCAGTCCCATTGGCCCTGGCGGCCCAAATGGCCCTGGCGGCCCAAATGGCCCTGGCGGCTCTAATGGTCTCGGCCAATGGGTTCCCGTTGGTCCAGGTGGTCCCAATGACCCCGGCATTCACAAGTACCCCAGCGGCCACAGCGGCAGTAATGCCAAAAGCGCCCTCAACAACTATAAAAGGAGTCAAAGCTAATGCCCCAAGTAAAGCAGCTGAGGAAACGCAAAGAACGACCATCTTCATTTTCCCTACTTCCTGTTCCTTTTCTTTAATCTTTTGTTGCAATAGTGCATTGTCTGTTTCAACCTTCTTTACATTCTCTGTCGAGAGCCCAGGTAACTCTTCTAACATTTCATAAAGCTTAGTACAAGCAGAATCAAATGCAGCTTTCTCATCATCATCATCTTTTTCATAAATTGCATCCATGTAAAGATAGCGTAGCCCGCTGCAATCCCCAAACTGTTCCTCTGCTATCTTTATGAAGTCTGCTGCAAATTCATCATCTGTTTTCTTGTTTATTTTTTTTTCTCTCTTCTCCTTATCTCTTAGATTCATCGGCATGCGAGTAAAAACAAGAACGACCTGATTCCAAAACTATTTGCCAAACATTCCTTCCAATATCCTGATCATTTTCAGCAGGGATCCATCTAGTCTTGGGTTCTGTCCATTAACTGCAAGGACAAACAGATTGACATAATCACATCCAGTATTCAGCTTGACTGCAAGTTCAGCAATAATTTCAGCATCATGATCTTTTGTAGGATCATCAAACCCAATGGTATCTATAAGGGAGACTGGTTTATTTTTATCTCCATTAAAGAATACGACTTTAAACTTAGTTTTCTTGGTACAGGTTGTACCATCTGAGGAAGTTTTGAAATAATCAGCATCATACTCCTTTCCTGCGAGTACATTGCAGAGAGTACTCTTCCCAGTTCCTGTCTTACCAATCACAAGAATCTTTTTCAGGCCATTACCGCTTATGCTTTTGAAAATCTAAAAGTAACAAAGTTTTATTTGGGTACAAAAAATCTGCCATCAGGGAGTATACAAACTTGGAGAATAACATTGATATAACAGGAGTTGTAGACATAGCTGTATTAGACGGCTCAGTTTCACTTGCCATAATATTTTTGCCATAATTACACTTGACAAAATACTTTTGTCAAAATTTTCTAATTTCTAAAAAGATGAAAATCTGTCTTTTTTATTGCAAATGCGGGAAAATTTCCAACTTAAGTTTTCTCATTGTTTTAAAAAAGAACGTTGACACAAGTTCAGCTCCATATTTTCTCACAATGGAGGACCCTTTGGTGACCTTTGAGACCACAAGTAAGGGTAAACCAATGGTTCGAGACAGCAACAACTACACCTATGTAACCAATGCCTCGTCTACAGAAGTGAAATATTGGAAATGTTCGGTTAAAATGTGCTCAGGTAGAATTCGAACCCGAATTTCTTCCTCAAACCTATGAGAGGATTGCTAACATTGTCCTACAGTATAATACTCTTCCCATAGAAGAGTACCTAAACCTGATAGCTCATGAACTGTCTCTGCATTAGATTTGTAATTTGTATCCAATTTGTAACTGTAAAAAAAAATATAAATATGTGTTTGTTAATTCAAACCAAATTTAATTTTAATTATGGCAAGAGTAATTAAAGCAAGTGCAATTCTTCTAATAGCTAATCAAATTGAGCGATAAATTTGCACTCTTGTATGAACTTATTTTTGTATTTTTCTTGGCCTCTTATAATTACAGTCCCTCTATATGTTATTTTTTCTCTGAATTTCTATCATAAAAACACAGAAAATGAGTTTTTGCCATAAACTCCAAAATTATAATCCCTACATCTGTACAACCTGATGTCAAAGAGCTTTGATATTTCAAACTAAGAATTCTATGAACAATGGAAGCCTAAGTTTGAAATAAAACAAAGGTTTAAACCATCAGGTTTTAAAGAAATAGGGATTAGAAAATTTGAGTTTGCGGCAAAAACTTAGTTCCTTTCTCTGTATTACTCTGTGTAAAAGTCTGTTAGCATACCACATGCAATGCTAGACATCAGAAGTGATTTTACGATACTTTCCTATGTTTATTCGACAAAAACATATTAGATATCGTCGATGTATTCATTTTTGTTATCTAATAATTTTTCATGCTTAAAATTACTTTTAAACTTAGGTGTTAAAATAGAGATGTCAACGATATTGTAATGTAACGTAAAATGTACGTTTTTTGTTCGTTACGTTACAATAATATGAAACGTTTGGATATATTCTGTATAACATGAACGATAAACGTTAACGTTATAGGAGCTCATACCTAACATTAACATTAAACATTAACGTTAGAGGAACTTACCCCCAACGTTAGCGTTTTGTGGTAATGTAACATTATTTTTCTAATATAATAATAATACATGCTAGAATCTATTTTGAGATTGGTAACAAAAAGATAAATCAAAACCTTTAATTTCGTCTGAGAAACCAGATTGGTTGCTTCTTTGCCTGTTTCCTTTTCCAGTTTTTCTTCATTAAGACCTAAGGTAAAAAAGATCTAGAAATCCTAAGACAAGCAAAAAAAAAATATTTTTTCCTAAAATTAAAGAGCTGTTGCATATGAGTTTTATAAAACCGGTTTGAATATCCTAATTAAAACCAATTAATAGAATCAAAGAACCCTAAAAATTAACCAAAATTGGACTAAATTTAATATTTTTAGTTATATTTATATTAAATCCCGTATTTTCCCATTCAATTGCCTGGTCTCTTAGAAAAAACATCAGCAATCCTTTTTCCAGCAATAGGAATCAATCCCCCAACAGTGGCCCCAACTTTGACCCCAGCAGTAAGGCCAGCAATAATGCCAGGTTGACCAAGAAAACTACCACATAGTGCCCCAACTGTCCCAAGAAAGACCATACCAACAGCCTCACCCACCCTTTTGCTTTTTTTTTTTGCTTTATCAGCCTTACCTTTCATCTTTTCAGTTTCTTCTCTGCATCTGCATCTGCCTTTAACTTCTTATCTTGAGCTAGGAAAGTTTCTGTTTCAGCCTTCTTCATATAGTTTGATGAAGACCTGAGATAAAAAAGATGAAATCTAATTATAAATAGTTCAGTTTAATGCCTTTTTGGTATTGTTACTATTTATTATTTAACTATGTAATACTTTTAGTAATTTTCTGACGAGGATATAAAAATATATTGAATCAATTTCCAAACTAGAGTTTTTCTACCTACGATCTAGCAAAAGCCTTTTTTCCTCGAAGGACAATTTAAAATTTATTAATATTTGGAATAGATTAAATTTCTTACTTGTTACTTGATCTGAAGATTGTAAAAGTCTGCCTATAATCTTGTTCAATACACCCTTTTTATAAACATATAGACAGCAACCTTATCTTTTAACAAGAGATTGAAGTTTGCAGCAGCATATTGGGTCCCCTCCGCTGGAGCGGAGGCCACCACAGGGAATTTGTTTTCACAGGAGGGAATGTTTTTTTTTATTCAACACTAATTACTCCATCGGAGTTACACTCAGAACACTAATTACTTCACCAGAGGGATGATAATTAACACCACGGACACTAATTACTTCATTAGAGGGATGATAATTAACACTCAAGACACTAATTACTCCACATAATAGATAGTGATTAATTCTCAGAACACTAATTACCTCAGCTGAGGGATGGTAATTAACACCACGGACACTAATTACTTCATTAGAGGGATTAACACTCAAGACACTAATTACTCCATCAGAGTGATGGTAATTAACACTCAGGACACTAATTGTTCTATTGGAGGGATTATTATAAACTCTCATGACTATAATTACTCCATCGGAGGGATGGTGACTAACAATTGGGACACCAATTACTTCATCAGAGGAATGATAATTAACACTCAAGACACTAATTACTCCATCGGAGGGATGGTAACTAACAATTGGGACACCAATTACTCCATCAGAGGGATGGAATTTAACACTCAGGACAGTCTTCAGTGTTAATTACCATCCCTCCGGTGGAGTAATTGGTGCCCTGAATGTTAATTATAATAATTTTATAATAATCCCTTCACGGGTATGATTTTAATACCAACCAGGGAAAGAGGACTGTAGAATCCTTTTCTTTGGATTGTATGGAAGTCTCCCTTTCGAAACACTCTTATTTTATATTATATCTGAAATGATAGGAGTGCCCCTTCTTTTGCGGTCAGAGCTTCCCTTTGCTGCTCACGTTCGTCTTTCCGCTTCTCTTTATGCGCTCAGTCTGAGCAGATTCAAAGGGCCAGTTCCTGACTATTTAGATTGAACTTATCTATCTAAATAACTTACTAAGAGAATATATGGTTTACCCATACTTAGAGGACACTTGGGATGCTTAATACACAAAAAATGTGTGCCTAAAACTTTCTAAATACAAAGCAGACAACTTTTACATGATCCAAAATGCATTAGAGGATAATAATATGAACAAGGCAACTGCAGTGTACAAGTGGACTGAAAGGGAAAAAGTGTATTGCAAGTGGAGAGTGTTGGTAGAACAAGGAAATGTCTGAGCAGTAAAAATTCACAAAACCCCACAAATAGTCTTTAACAATTCCACAGCTCCAAAAGTATTCTATAAGCAATCTCTAACTATGCTTAAATCCCACTGAATCTAATAATTAACACAAACCATTAGTATTCAGAGTATCTCTGTAACTAACCATATTTAGGTATAACGGTACAGGTAAAATCAAACTGACCAACAGTCAGATCATTGAACTCTATAGATTAGCATATAACAGGGTACAAAGATATAGTAAGATATTATATTTATTACAGTAAGATGATAAAGACCATAAAGGTCTATCAAGTGCAATAACAATTTTAATTTTGTTCTTTAAGTACATATTAAAATATTGATTTTTAAGCCGCCATTTTGTCGTCGTTATGCAAATTTTTTGCGGATTTTGTGTTAAATTGGTTTAATCGTTAATGTCGTTATTTGTTTTAAAGCAAAACGTTTTGATTTCTACAAGATGTAAATCTTCTTTGGGGTCTTGTGAGTTGCCCTACTCTAATTTTGTCTAAAAGACATACCTCGCTGAGCTTGGGATGTTTTATAGACAAAATTGGTCTTGGGAACACATGGTAAAGTAAAATTCCCTTAACTTCCCTGTAAAGTAGTTGTAAATAATTTTAATTCGATTCCCTAATTTAATGATTTTGATTCCTGAATTACAAGAACCGCCTGTTTTTTCTTGGCTAACCTGAATGCCTACGAACAGACAACAATAATTATAGTGAAAAAAATAGAATTTAAAAGTTTTAAAGCATATTGAAATGGGTTCTCTTGAAACCGGCTTGGTTATCCTAGTTTAAATCAATCAAAAGATTTTTATTATTTTAAAAATTTACCAAGATAGATCGAAATAAATATTTTTGGGCACTATAGTTTTATTTAAAAACACAAAACCGTCGTTTTTCCCATTTCAAAAGCATGATAAAACTTCAACTTATCTGGCCTTAATAAAAATGTTTATTATTTAATTATCTGGCTTCAATCTACTGGTGGACTGCGTTCTTCTTGCTATCTAGATTTGTGAGCCGAACAAAAGGAATAATACTCGAAAGAGTGAAATAAGGCGAATTGGTTAGGGAAACACTCTTTTCTACCGGCCATACATAGATGAGAACTTTTTCTTGAAAAAATGTATATTTCAGTAACGAGGTTTCCTACGACAAAATACAAATTGTTATTGACGTACATGGTGTACAAATAATGATTGTTAATAAAGATTAAAGAGTTAAGGGTAACTAACAATAATGGGCGTTGATGTGAATCGAACAATTGGTTTATAAACATGTACCATTGAGAATTGAATAAAGGCTTAAAAGGTATTGGAAATTCTAGGTTTTGCAGGTTTAGTGGATCATATTTTATTACTGTTGTGAATCGATAAATAAAGGTTTAAAAGGTACTGTTGTGAATTGGCAAATAAAAGGTTTAAGATATTGTTGTGAATCGGCAAATAAAGGTTTAAAGAATATTGTTGTGAATTAGGTATACGGAACTTACAATCTAGAAAACTGTGGCACGGCGAAAAGTTGTTTGAACTGAAGTCTAAAGCAATTTAATTCTTCTGAAATAAATATTCATCTGGTTAAAGTAATTTCACTGTTTATTTGTAAATGATTCTCTGAAAATTATGTTTAAATTGGTTCTTTTTATGCACTTTAAGATTTATTAGCTCCATGAGTTTTTTGTTTATATTTACGCAGAAGCCTTGGAAATGTTTGGTTTGGTAAGTGGACGGAGGGTCCAACGGAGGTACAGTTTGTCAGAGACGACCTTACAACAGAGTAAATTTAGGGGTATGATTCACAAGACTACTTATTAAGGGATTAAGACAATTTTATACAGGGTGTCCCAGTAAACACTGCATAATTGATAAATGAAAAAGAGTTTTTCCTTAAAAAAAAGTTTTTTAAGCTTTGATTATGTGTTTCTTCCTTGTATCTAAACCATTCAAACAATTTGTTGGTGTTAACAGAAAAATTGCTAAATATCTTCTTAAACTTTAAAGATGTTAAAAAATACCACATTTTGGTAATCCCTAGACTAGTAAATTTAAATATTATAAATGTGATACTACAAAAATTTTGTTTACGGTATAAAAGTCATTTCTTAATTCGAGTGTTTTTTTTTGTACCCCACATTTGAGCCCCCGCCCAACCTTTTTTCAGGGTGTACCACATCAAATTAGATCGTTTATAGCTTAAAATTGTAATTTTAGGAACTAATCGAAAAATTTAAGAACAATAAATCATTTTGAAAAAATGTATAAAGTTACTATCAAAGTTTTCTTGTAGAAAATATTAAGGTTTTCGAGTGTTATATGCGTATTTTGGCGTTAAAGCTTGGAAATAATCTAATATGATATGGGAAGCTCTGTATTGCATGAAAAATAAAAATCTGAATTGTAAACAAGTCGTAATCCATTATTGTATAAATGAGGTCATTTTATAAAAAAAATCTAAATTATTCTTTGAATTGGAATTGGAAGCAATACTGTATCATTATATCAGAGACAAGGGACAATATTTATTTAACACTAGGTGAAGGGCCCGTGTGAAAAAATCTTTTAAAAAACTATTTGGAAAAAATAGGGTCAAATGCCGTAGGGTAAAACTACTTAGGGCCAAACGACGTCGACAAACGGTAGAAAACGCGACAAAGGGTAAAACGACAAAGGGTCAAAACGTGCGAAAAACGGTCAAAATTTAATTTAAACTATCTTTGGTTAATTTCAACTATTTTTTGTCTTATATGCTTTAAGGGTGGCCGGTTTCGGCCCATTTCTAGTAATAATTTTAGACTTTTAAGTCTCAATCTACAAGCCACCACTTTCATACAAATCTAAAAAGCAAAAAGTTTCATGAATTTTTCTGTTTAAGCGAAATATACTTTTATCACAAAGTCAAATTTTCTATGTCCTTTATTTTTGCATCATGATGATGTAAACCTATGATATTTTAAACTATTTGATCTAGCAGAATTTATAGTTTGAAATATCAAATGTCGAAGACAGTCAGGTCGCAAATATACATTTATATAGGGATTAGAAGATCAGAGTGATTTTTTTTATTTTTATTTTTGGTTTATACTATTTAATTTTACTCAGGATATTGACAGCAGATCACAAGAATATATGAAAATATACAGGGTGAGTAAAATAACCGGAATTAGCAATGTTTTGATAAAAAAATCTCATAACTTTTGTTTGCTTGATATTTTAGGTATAAAAATGTTAAAGTGTTTCAACAAAAAAAACAGAAATACTCAGTAGGTATCACTATACTAAATCAAAGAATTATTTGAAAAGACGATATCGAATTCGTCACTGAATTCCCATGTTTTTTGGGACACCCTGTACTTTACACCCACACAAACTCAAATTTTCTAATTTCTATATCTTCTCAACCTGATGATGTAAACTGTTGATATTTCTAACTTAGATTTTTTGAGTTTAACAGAATTTATAGTTTAAATATCTAAGGTCTCCGATATTGGGTTGAAAAGATATAAGGATTAGAAAATCAGAGTTTGTGGCGAAGACCTGATTCCTTTGCTGTAAGTTTTTCAAAGATTCAAATTTTTTCAAATTTTTGGGACCTTCCCTTTTATGGAAAATTTTGTGCAAGAGATTTTAGTATTTTAGATAAGGCTAGGAACTTATTCATGTATTATAAAAGCCGAGATTTTAAACTGTGGAATTTCTACATTTTAATTAGTTTATGTTGATTTGTTTATGACTATTTATAATCTTTAAACAAAGTTTATGATTTCCAAAACTAAAAACGCAAATTTTAAACCGTTAAATTTAGAACCTTTTTTATCAAGGTTATTAAAGTTTATTTATAACCTTGATAAGAAAATTCAATATTCTGTCAGTCATTTGTCCATGAGTTTAAAATAAGTGTGTTAAAAATATATTTTCTTCAATATTTTTACATATTTTTAATTTTTCTCTGATTATTATGAGTAACCCATAATGGATGAGACTGGAAAGATTGCCCATGAAATTTCTAAAATATGAAGATTACAAGGTTTAAATTTAATTGTCTTTCAATGGCTTAATCAATGACGTGGCCAAGACAGAATCCAGTTTACACTTGTAGAGAATCATAAATATAGAAAACGGACAATTATAATTCCGAACAGTCGTTTCTGGAGTCTCCTTAAAAGGTAACCCGGTATGAAATTGTATAAATACTGCCTTAAAAATTGTTTTAAAAATAATGATTAAAAGACAGTCTTAACCTTTATCAACCTTTTTGTATGTCTTACAGGACTAAATTAAAAAAAAAAACATTCTATAATTCCGAAAAATCTTAGACGATTTTATAATTAAAATTAAAATTTGGAATTCAAAGTTTTTTATCATTTGTTTGAACTAATAACGACACAAATATTTATAACATTTATTTTTACAAAAAATATGAGATCATTAAAAAAAAATTCAACAAACACAAAGCAGAAAACATAAAAAATAATTCAAATGTGACGAAAATGCAAAAGTCTCTCAAAAACATTGAAGTTTTTCAATTCAACAAGAATACAAAATAATTCAAAACTAATTTATCTCAGTACATAAGGCACTTCTATGTAAAGTTCAAAATAGCCTTAAAAAATAAAGCAAAATATTTTTGATTTAACAATTTGAGATACTTTTCGATTTAAAAAATTGTTTTTCATATTTTCAACTGAATTTTTTCTAGAGTTTTCTTTATCTCGTCTCCAAGAGCTGAAAAATAAATAAAAATAATTACATTTTTTTTTACCAAAAAGGTGCAAGTTTTATAAAATAGCGAATAGCTTTTTAAAAGAAGACTTGAAAAATTGATATTTTCATGTTAAATATTTTTTTAGTATTTATTTAAAGAATTTCAAAAGTTTCATAACTTTTAAATGAAAGCATTTAGCTTAAACCCCTTTAAATGAGTTAAACTGATTCTCTCATTCCCATTGGTCACAAGTTAAGATTTGTTCAACACACTTCAGGTATAGTGATTAGTAGGAACCATAAAACTGTGGAATAAGAAGACCACATTTAAGCAATAATTAAGCATACATGATGTTGTTATAAGGCAAATAGTTTTATCAACAACTTATTGTCATATATGTAGTTAAATGGGCCTGTTTACACTGCACAATTTCTGTGCTATATGTTCATTGGACTGTTAAAAGTCATAATTTAAGTCTTCCTATTCAAGAGTTTTCTGGTTCTCACTTTAGCTTAAACCTATTCCGTCTATTATAAAATTTGAATCTATTCTAGCTGAAGAGCCCGGCATTGCCCGTGAAAAAATTATTTGAAAAAAATGTTGATTTTTTTAGCCTATAACACCCCCCGGCCACCCAAGAGTGTCCACAACAAATTTTGGCCGGCTATACGCAACATATATATATATATATTGTTTT